TTGTTGTGGTCCGTTGTGCTTTCCCTCTTCCACTGTTTGACAAGAGAGACGTTTGATCTCTCTGGCGCGCTGTTTGCACACAATGTAAACCCGACAAAATTCTGTCGCCGCACTTTTGAAAATGGGTGGTCGTATTATGCAATCTGATGAGAACCGGATATCCATGTGCTAGTAATGGCGATATACTGTAATGCAGAAACTATACTATGAATAGGGTCTAGGTAATATAGCGGCTAGTGGCACAGGCTATCGCGCTCGGTTACGGGACACTTGTCAACCAGACGTGCTCTCGCTGCGAGGGTCCAGGGTTATTTTTCGAAGCATCTACCAGTCCACTAGTTTAAGGGAGAAGGTAAAGGAGGAGGGATCAGAAAAGGGAGGAAGAAAAGGAAGGAAGGAGGAAGAAAAAAGGAAAGAGAAGAGGGGCTTCCCCGTTGACAAGTTTGGCCTGCCCGCGCCTGAGACGATCGCGTCGCACATCCGCGGCCTTGGCTCTCCCTGAAGTCACCGCCAAACCTGCTATCCTCCGGAGACGACAAATTTGGGACCAGTCTTCGACACTGGGAGATTCTATATTCTAACAATAAATGCAATCTTAAATATTGATGACTAAATCCATCTATTATTTATTTGTTCACTGAAATAAAGAGGAAGTTATTAGAGAGATTCCGCAGTGCGATAAACCGCTGTCACCGTAATGCATATTGCTATATGGTAGCAGCGATTCCTCGGACTGTGAAAACTTTCTTGTCACGAAAGGGCGCCACATACAGTCCTTGTTAGCTGCGGATGCTAGGGCGTGTCAGATGAGCTGGCTTTGGCGCGGTGCCAGCCTTCTTGTTGTGTTGTGGAAGCTGGCAAGCAACAATAATTGGTGGAAGACGGGCTGGCATGCGCTAAACCCAGCCCTTCTTACGCAGCGTTCAGACTTCGCGACCAGCGCTTCCAGTCGCGCGATTCGACGATCGATGCGCATGCTTTCGACTGCATCGATCGCGTCGAACGCGCGACCGAAGCGCTGCCGTCGCGAAGTCTGAACGCAGTCCTACACGCCCTAGCGAACAAGACTGCAGTGTACCGAAACAAACTCACATTCTGAATGGTATAGTAAGAAAGAGAGGGCAAGAAGGGTGTGAAAGGAAAGTACAACAAGAAGAAATAGAACAATAATACAGCGTGAAGGAACAGAACAGAGGAGTGGGGTTTTCTACTTCGATTTTCCGTGGTCTATTTGCAACACGGCTTTTGCACCACTCGTTAGTTACCCTTAACTATCGCGTTATCCTAGAAGTCGATTACTTGAATGCGTACTAACTGGCTTTGAACTTCTTGGAAAACTTCAGGATTTTTGAAAATGAAATTTGTTAATCCCTATGAAGCCGTACGAAATCCGATGAAGCTTTAACAGTTTCCTGAAGGGTTTAAATCGAAGTGGAGAAGATCACAAGTGGAAACGCTTCGGTCAAAAAATTACACATCACCGCCGAAAAGAACAAAAGAAAGATCAATGGAACCAAGAACAGGAGGAGAATGGGACGGAAGGGTCAAGCGGAACTTTTTGGCAACACTGGTTTTCTCCGATTGAACTCTTTAGGTGGCTGTCACAAGATTGCTCAGTTATGGGCAAAACACATACTGAGGCCAAGGTTGTGCCAATAACCCTGCGGTCTTGTGATAGTTACGCATCATTGCAAGAACTACTTATCATAACAAAACAAGTCTCCTTGAGGTTTATAAATTTCTGTCCCATTTCGCTACGCACTATCCATAATAAGGGATGAATCTTATTCTTATTTAGCCAGAGCAATATTCACTGATAAACGAATGCGTGTGAAGGGCGGAGTGACCTGGATGGCAGCCACGTACTGCCCTTCCCGTCAACTGCTGAGGACTCAGAATCACACCAGTGATAGAAAGGTCGCCTTGGCAGCTTGCCAATCCACGCCTCGTAACACGCCCACTCGTTTAGGCTGCGTTCATACTTTGTGGTCAGGTTAGGCTTAACCCAGTCGTTTTGATCGACTAGGAAACTGTGGATATCGATTAAGCTTTTAGGCATACGCCAGCAATTCAGCGACTGCCCGGGAAAAAGTTCAATAATACCCACAAAACGCTCAAATCGCTCGGTGGGCTCAAAACGCTAGATCGATGTCTTTATTTTCTCTATTCCTCTCGAAAACGGCTGCACGCCAAAGTGAAACTCCGCCTCAATAAGGAATCATGACTGCAAATTCAAGCGCAAATTCGAAAAATGCGAATAGGAGAAGTTCCACACTTAGTAGTCTGAAAAGAAAGACAAAAAGATTGTACAAAAAAGAGGCAAAACAAAAGCATAGTAAGAAGTACAAGACGGGGCAATACAAAACAATGAACTATGACTGCACTCTTCAGACGAAGGGTAGTACCCCGCCCTTATTGATACTTTTCGACTACGTCGCAAAATCGATTTCCACACTTTTGATTGATAGCAAATGAGCCTCACAGGTGATCAACCTAACGCTGCGAACTGGTAACGTCCGATTGAATCACTAACAATTTGGCAAGACTACTCCATTTACTTCGAAGCTCCCCTCACTTCCAGATCCAACTCCTTTGTGGAAAATGAAATTAAGTCGCCTAGAGAGACAGGCGCAGACCGGCCTTGGAAGGGGCAGCAAATGGTTTTCAGCGAAGCTTGTACAGTGGTACGCTGTTGAACACCGCAGATGTCATTCGCCGAAAGTGGCTCAACTAGTACCCATTTCGAAGAACCTCAGATGAACAGGTCACACCAAAGCGAGACTGTTACTGAGCAGTGAGTTAATCAAACGGAACTAGACGGGAGCGGCAAAAATGCGCCTAGTGCCAAACGTATTGCGGGGGGGGGGGCACGGGCGCGGCGTGCGAGCGATGACTCATTCTGTTCTCTGCTCTCTACTCGGCAAAAGAATAATTTCAGTCAGGACCATGATATAACGCCGCCCTAGGTCGTATTCAAAGGAGGTTAAACAATTGAATGCTAAAAGTGCGCAAGATAAGATGCCTGAAAAGTGCAGAAAAAGAATAGAAGGCTGGAAGATTCTTGCCTAAACTACAAGGGAATGAATTCCGGCCCAGGTGAACCCATTGGTTTGAGCAAAAGTGACACTATCAATTACGTAGATGGTTCGGCAGATCCATAAAGAAAAATCTACGCCCTAATAGCTCACTTAGCACCAATGCCCTCTCCAAGGTCGAATAGCACCGACATGTAAGCCCATGACTTCCACCCTAGCGTGGGCCGCCTTCATATCTGGCGAACGGGAATATCTCTGATTCGAACTGGCAAACCGCAGTAGTGTGCGAGAAGGAATCACACTCTCTGGAATGCCATAATTCAAAGTAGATAGATCCCTATCGACTGGCCTTTAACCCCCCCCCTCACGATCTCTCTCCGAGATTGGAACTTGAATCCTACAAATTAGACTCCGAACAGGTCGGTGGGCGGAGCCAATCGATACGATTTACACCTACGTGCGGCGGCGCGTTCATACTTCGCGTCCCGCGCGATTGATCATTTGCCGATGTGCTCTGCACATCACTGAATCGAGTGTATATATATCACTAACCTCTCAACGTTCTTTTCCTGTTGCCAACTGGCCCACTCGCGATTAGCTGTAAAGCGCGATGGTCGGTTCGACAGTTTGAGCGCAATCCCTCTACTCCCGTCATCCTTCCATCTTTTCTGTGCTATCACTTCTGCACGGTATTCTATGACACCTCGATGGTCCCTGCAGCATCGAAAGATCGCTCACCCACGTAGCTCGCGATTTCTTTGCACCTTTGACGTCCTGAGCAGTGTCCTCTGCTTTTTTCTGTGCGATTCAGCCTTTCAGCGCCCAGGAATCAGCCCGCTTAAAGTGGGTGTCGTGTCGGTCATAACCCGCAACTCCGTGCCAGTCGGAAAGTTGTTGGCGCGTTTCAAGCAGTGAACGCAACCTGTAGAAAAATCCCTGGCGGTGGCTCCCGGAACGCTCGAGGCTCTCAAACGTTGGCGTTCTTTCCAAAATGCTGGAGCGATACCTGCACCTTCACCCAAAACGCTCGAAACGTCCAAAAAACCCTCGAAAAATATGAGCGCAAGCCAGCCCCAACCCTAGAACCGCGCCTGCAGCAACATAAGAACGCAGAGTGCAGAGAGTAGGCCCCACAAATCAGGAGAGGAATGTAGGCCACGGCAGCAGTGAAGGTAGATATAGTTATATGTCAACCCCCGTCCTTTTCCTCCTTGGAGAGCGTCACAAGTAAAACAACATCGTATCAACAACAAAGAAAGGTAGGACATAAGTAGGTCCCAACAAGAGGCAGGATTACCTAACAGATCTAACTCTTTCCGATTTTCCTTCCTTGAAGACATCATAACAACACAACAAACTAATATACTTTACTATAAGAAAACACTTTGATCGATGCTGAAACCCAACAACGTTCACATACACTTTAGCCACAATAAATGAAAGAAAATGAAGAGTTAATATTACGCCGAAGGTGTAGTTGGAGCGAGACAGACAGAGGGAGCTTTAAACAGACACCGATAAACAAATATAATAGAACCATACTCAAATAATGGCTTGAGCAATATCCTTAAATGGCAGTCTTTACATAAAACTGGAATCAAAACGACCAATAGTGCGCTAGAAGACCATGGAGAATAACAGCAAAAAACAAATCACTTACGATTCCTATCTGAATACATAAAAAATGAAGAGATCAAGACGTAGTCTACACGAGTACTTAGGTAAGAGTGAAGAGAAGGTTCTTAGTCGTGAAACAGATTACGCTGCTCAGTAATAGCTTCATACACCACACACAACCACACAACTCACTAAATACACTACGAAACAAATAGGAGAAAGTAAAGCTCAGCGAGAAAGGAACGCCCGTAGGGAAAGGTGTGGAAGTATTATAATCGAGAATAATACTAAAGAAACCAAATAGTTCAAACGACTATACTCCAAAAACAATAAAAATGGTTTAATCACTCAAAGTTTGATTTTCTTTTGATAGGCGATTCCAGCGTTTATGGAGTCGTAGAGTAGCATCTAAAAATTCAAAATTAGGCATTTTAACATTTTTAAAGCAGTATCCGCACTCTACCAAATCGTTTTCAGTTCTTCCTTAGACAAGTAGTCTAGTCCGCAGTCCCCTAGATTATCCCAGTTCACACAAATAACGACGGAAATGCGGCATTCATAAATGACGATGCCCCCCCTGGTTGTACCCTCCACCGAAACTCAGAGGAACTTATCTGTATCTGTCACAGGTTTGATGTTTTGACACTGCTTTCACTTTTTCTCAAGTTAGATTGCAAATTTGCATAAATGCAAAACCAACCACACAGAGTTCAGACTTCAGATCGCGCGATCACGACCGGGGGCGTTCCACTGCCAAACGCTGCACCGCCGCAACGGCACTAATCAAACTGGCACTGTGTGAGCGCTGCTTAGTTTGAATTTTGCCGTTGCGGAGGTGCACCGCTTGGCGGTGAAGCGCGCCGGTCGGAGTCGCCCGATCCGAACTCTGCACGCAGACTTAGCGAGCCAGATGTGGTGGAGTATGCTGACATAAAAGGGGCGGGCGCTGGTCCGGAAAACTCGTTCAGAGTGGTTGCTAGTATGGGTCACTACTTAGAAGGTTCTCTTTGACTTTTTTTTTTGCTTTTTTCCTCTCCTGGAGAGTCATTTAGAGCATATAGGTTTGTGAATTGACGCCACTACCATCGCAATCGCAGCTTTTTCCTCTTTTTCAAAAACGTGTTAAACGAACCTCATCGCTCCGACGCTTTGTTGCCACAGAACAGCTGATCCGAGACTGACTATTTACACTAGTTGGCAGTAGAGAAGTGGACGAAGGCGGAAACTCTGGGTTCTGGAAAAAAAGATAGCAGCTGATGGCTGAAAAACATGTTTGAGTAGTTTGAAAACACTCACATATGTTTTGAGATCAGAGTACTTGTGATTGCCAAGAGAAAGGAATATCTGATCACTTTCTTCAGCCAAAACAGGTTGTATGGTTGACGAATTATTCATATCACACATCGATGACAGATTGTTGATTGCTGACAGTGACGTCAACGGAGCCGTATCAAACGTCGCCGACTGCACGCAATCGTACAAACTGAAATGACACATTTGAAAAACATTACATTTAGCTATTCTTGGTATATGTGCTGGGTAAAAACTAGGGCGCAGTTCGTCCAGGAGGGGGCATTTTGTACCTTCGCGGCTTCCCGTCGACATGTTCGTTGCTCTGACAGGTACTCTTTACAAAAGTTGACAAGTGTTATCTACAAACTTGGCTTTACAAGACCTCACAGGTTACTACTTGATGGCTCGTCACCGTAATGAGAAGCCAAATTTCAGCATGCCTCCCCAGGCAGATTACACCAAAACCACTACTAAGTTATAGATTCTCCATAGTCGGGAAGGAATACCGCAAATCACACAGATTTTTGCTACAAGAATCACCACCTTAATGTAAATACTCCCATTTCTCGACAAACGACGTTGTTCAAGAAGGGTGGAACTTTAAGGAGAAAGAATGTGGTTTAGGACATCCGAGACGCTGGCGCGCTAGAACTCACTCAATTTAGCACTATGACGTCAAATCAAATCTTCTTACGTCAGCGTACGCCCTAAACGTTTATTTCAAGACCCTAACTGAAAAGTGCGACAATCGATAAGCTTTCTTGCGTTCCATACTTCAAGGATAAGTGAGGGCCACGTTCAAATTACAACGGTTTCTAGTTATTGGCCTTCATTATTCCAATGTTCTCCAAAAACTGAAACAGAAGACAGTAATTTACTGATTGCCGAAACATTGGGAAGCAAGGCCGCGAAATAAACTTTACAGGCCATAAGCTGTCACGATTTAAACAATTCTATGTTGCAATGTCATCTCGAGTCATAGCTAAGAACGCGTGTGGCGCCTCAGATGTCCTGAACCCTCTGTGAAGTGAAGCTGACGAAAATCTTAGAGAAAAACTCCGGGTTTAATGGTTCAGAATCACTCTTCTCTGCAATATATTTTACTTATGCGCCAGCAACTCACCAGTTTGGCAGTAATGACTCTTGCGGATCACAGGCTGACAGCGATTCCTCCCCTCTGTCGGCAGATTCGGAAACAGACGAATAAAGTGAATAGAGAGTGAGCCGTGACTCGCTTGATTTATCATCCAAGCGACCAATTGCTCCATCACGACCTGCAATTCAAGGAAATCTATGACAATTTAGCGGGAGCAAATGTTTCTAAGCAAAAGTTTCAGCGTGTTCTGGGAAAAGTTTAAGCTGATGATAAAGGCTAACATCAATACGGTTTTTCTGTAAAAGGGGAGAAGAAGATAATCTAAGGTAGGATTGATCCGCTGAACGACTTAATGACCACCACACCGCTTCTACAAATACGTTTGCCACAACTTTAAAGTCTTGTTTTTTTGGCCGGTCTAATCATCTCACGAGCAGAAACAGAATAAGGGACTCTGAAAATTGGAGCACTTTGACTTGGGGAGAGGGAGGGCACTCTGCACTTTTACTGCTCCCATTATTGTGTTCACTGCTTTACAAAAGTTGACAAGCATTCGCTACAATTAATTGTTATCTCTTTAAGGCTCTACGCTCGACACGCCGATGGAAAGCAGCAAAAGTGCATAACGCCAACTTCACCCAGCCCCCCCCCCTCTCCAAAAAAAGTCGAACTCCGCTAAACATCTACATCCTTTCTTAAAGCCGAAGTCCCGAAAACTTAGGCTATTATTGCTATATTTGGCCACGCAACTCGATCAAATTCAAGTCTATTACCAGTTTGATTGAGAATGGCTTTGTAGGCAGTAAGTAACCTTGCAGTTTGACCTAGAACATAACCCGCCCCGTCTAGTCAAATTATTGTAGTAATAATAGTGGTCATGCAATCTCAGCCGCAGTCATCGTCTATGATACCGAAAAGCTTGTAAGTAGCCAAAAAGTAACGCTTTCGATAATTTCGAAGCATTGAGCCCAGTGAACCGGCAAGTACATCCCACCATTTGTTAAAGAAAACCAACTTCATAAAACCGAGAAAATCCACTAATTTCCCTGGAAGTGCCATTCCTGTCCCTTTTCATCTTTTTTTGCTGCTACTGTATATTAGCATCAGCGGAAACGAACCAATTAAACAGGGTATTAAACTCATGAACAAATTGCACTTTTTATCCCCGTCATATGATGAGTGAACTCTCATAATGGAACGACATGTCCCAACAATTTATGAGACGCATATGCCAGCGAAACCTAATGTATGCGTGTCACAACCGGACATAATTCATCAACGGACTTCCCGAATTTCTTAGGATTTCAGACAAGTTTTACCGTTCCACTGCCATAAATGTAGACTATTAGGATTTATCGACATTTTGTTGAATTAGCAGTAATTAGCAATGAGAACTAAGGCTGCGTTTACGCTTTGCTTTAGCGTTCTCAGCGTACGGAAGCTTTTTGAGCGATTAGGAAAGCATGGATATCGACCTAGCGCTTTGAGCGTACTCAGCGTCTTTAAAGGTTTGCGGTGGTTTTGAACATTTTGCGGGCAGTTGCTGAAAACGTTGCCGTACGCTCGAAACGCTGACGCAAAGTATGAACGCATCCAAAACTTCAATGGATTTGTACGGACTTTTAGAAAAGTCAGTTCAGTTTCGTTCACCCACGTAAGACATTGTAGCACTCAAATACGTACCTGAATGTACAGAATCAAACATAAGAGCATCCGTAAGTGCAGTATTGTCGGGCATCGCTGCAGAATCTAACCAGATATCGTGCTGAAATGTGCAATGTCTTCCAAAGGCAAAGAAGGAACTATTAAACAAGGGACGATTCACTCACAGCGGGAATCATATCGTCATCGTCGCTGGGTATGCTATCACCATCGCCCAGGATTTCATCCATATTGGCATTTGGCACCTCCCGAGCAGACGAATCCGTGTCGTCTTCGATCTCGTCATTCTAAAGTGACGAACAGATGTAGATGTACAGTTGGACAACTCACAGTTAGATCTTGATCGTTCCAAAACAACTTACCTGAGCATACACGTCGCCATATCCCTGAGTTGTACAGCTTTTATCCTCTAGTTCCTCATCCTCAGCTTTCTTTCGACACAGGTCATTAACAAAGTTCTTGATAAGAAGCCTGTATTGAAAAACATCATGAAAACTATCACCAACACTACCACAATCACGACACAGTATCACGAAGGAAATTGCTGCGAGAATTTATCTTCTTCAATATCTATATATCAACAATATCAATATCTTCTTAAGGTTCAACAGCGAATAAATAAGGCGCTAATGTAGTTGGTAGTTGGGGGAGCGCTCGGCTCTTCCCTCTCCCTAGAAAAGTTTAGACTTAGAGCCCAAACGAAGACGAATAGAATCGCCTCGGAATGGTCTCGCACAGAAGACACTGTCTCTACTAACATAAGCCAAAACTGCTGGTGGATGGTACCTCAGCTACGTTGGCGCCTAAGTCGGATACAAACGAATAAGAAATGACTAATACGTCTAAGATGTAATTATTCCCATCGCTGTTACGTTTTTAAAAGATAACTGCCATGTCTCGACAGTTCGCGATTTGAAGGTTCACATTAAAAAACTGAGTAAGGAGCAAAAGAATTGATCCAGGGTCAAAGGACTGTCGAAGAATCTTGTACGAGGGTTGCATTCGGTCATTGGTACTTTTGTGGAGGAAATCTGTTTTACTTGATTGGCGTATTTCCCGTTTCAGGTGCTGTCGGCAGCGGCAATTGCTGTCTGCACATCCGTCTCTATGAATGTTAGGAAGGGGGGGGAGGGTTCCACTCCTGTGGAAGAAACATGGAGGGGCTCCTACTGAAGAGGAAAATCTCCTTGACCTCATGCTTGACACTGAATTGACGTCAGCAAGCAATTAAACCTGTCTCAAGCATTACTCCAGGTTCCCCACCCCCACCCCCCATTATGGTAAGGGACGGTATGAAATGATTAGCACCTCAGCAGGTAAGCGTGAGGTGCAAATGCGAGTCCCACCGGGGTCAATTCTTTCACATACTTGGCAGCGTTCACACTTGGCGACTTGAAAAATAGGAGGAATAGAATGTGCGGCCAAAGAAAGTATAGCTATTGATCTTGTGGAACAGAAAAATGGGAGCACAGGAGAGGTTAGGAGAACTGAAGAGTGCCTTGAGTAAGGGAAATTCACGCGAACCAGTAGACGAGAATCGATCGATATCTGTCGCTCGTGAGATGAAAGGGAAACTAATGGAATGCGTAACTGTGGAAAAGATGCAGTACTCAGATAGTTTCGAGCAGATAATACAAAAAATGTTATGACTCTGAGACAGGGGATTCTCAACGATGCAAGCAAATCTTGAAGACATAATTACATATAATCTCAAAGGTAGCATAACACTGTCCTTGAATGAAAACTTCAATGACAAAAAGTAAAAGGGCAATTTCGGCGCACGTTTACTTCTACAAGCGCTTTCGAGCAAATTGAAGGGCAAGTTCAAGTATGCATTAGCGTAAGAAACGGACGGAGGAGGCGAAAGAAAGCAACCTACCTTTTCCTCATTGCCACACCACCACAACCGGCTTTTCTCTTTTCTGCCTTGTCGCTCACCTTGTCGATAGCCAAACTGCATAGATGTTTGAACACTTCCTCGTTCAACATAGCGAATGAATCCATTCCTAACACTTACCTATAAAACAGCAATCAATATCTTCTATCGTCATAATTTTGAACGACTAATTGTCCGTGCTTTTGAATGTGATGACACACTCGAGAGAAGAAACGTCAGGCTTCACATATAATTC